TCACACAAAAGTCCACACCATCTTGGTCTTCATACCATGAATATGTTAAGTTATATAGAAAAAATGATGACTCATTTAAATGACTCAGAAACTTAGACTTTTAGTGAAGGTAAGTATTGTAACAGTGAAGGTGGATATAGGAACTGTGAATAGCCCAGGGCGGAAGTGGAGATACCACAACTGTTTAGCACACGTTTGGTCAAAGGATCGGCTTAACTTGTCTTTTTGACGAGTTGTTGTGTGGTGCTAAGAATGGCAAAACTCATTGACTATGCCGGCGAAACGTCTGGGAATGTACCACGTCCACGGTCCTAGTTTGGAAATCATGATGCATACAATGCACTTCGGACAAGGTGAATTCCTCTAAGCCTTCCTACCAACATGAGCAAGTTGGAAAAACAAGGTCAAACAACCTTTACACAACGAAAGGAGACTGCGACTACACAACAGGCCACACCATCTTGGTCTTCCTACCTTCGAGGGTTAATTATTGTTCATCTCCATCTCCATTGTCAATTTAATATTGCAGTCAATCTGGTTAATTAAGAACAATCTAAATTATCCTTGCCATGTTGCCATATAGCAAAGTAGTCATTCATGAATCTAACAAACAGTTTGGGTGTCAATCTTGCCTCTTCCATGAAGTGTTCCTCCATTCTTGACATGTAATTATTAGCTAAACTGGGAGCCAAGCAAGATCCCATTGCTAGGCCTCGAACCTGTTCATAAACTTTATCATTAAAGGTAAAGTATGTGCTGTTTATGGATAGATTAAGAAGCCTTAAGAGTAAGCTCTCGCTTAGATTTGATTCTTCAATTATTCTTGGGTGCTCATCCAGACTGACTGCCAGTGCTTCGATAGCCTTCTGAACTAGGATGTTAGTATGCATTTATACCACATCGAAACTAACCAAAAGATCATCCTCTTTAATAATCTGTTGATCTATCAATCTAACAAATTCATATGAATTCTTCACTGAATATTTCTAATACTCAGCCACTATTCTTAAGGAGATACCACAACTGTTTAGCACCTGTTTGGTTAAAGGATCGGCCTCACTTGTCTCTTTGACGAGTTGTTGAATGGTGCTAAGAATGGCAAGACTCACTGACGATGTCGGCGAAACGTCTGGGAATGTACTACGTCTACGGTCCTACTCTGGAAATGATCATGCATACAATGTACTCCGGACTAGGTGCGTTCCTCTAAGTTTTCCTACTAATAGGACCAAGTTGCGAAAACAAGGTCAACGACTTATAAACAACGAAAAGAGACTGCGACCACCCAAAACGCCATACCATCTTGGTCTTCATACCTTCGATATTAAGAAGAATTCAAATTTGGTTGGGGCATTCTGATAGCACTTTGTGAACAACTCAACTATTCCGTCCCTTTTTCAACTTATGCGGGATATGGTGACAAATTCTTTGAAATAAAAAAAAAATCTGTAGGAAATATGAAGAGAAGCTGGACTTCGAAGAATCCGATAGTAGATTGATGCTGGTACACATTTCCTTTCGTTTGAGAAGGCGGATGGAAGGGACAGGTAGATTGGCCGCACCGGATACCGAAGGAGGGTTGATTCGTAATTTTCTTTTGCTGATTTTTGCGAAGAAGACCTCGCCTCATCGTCCTGCCACCGCGACGACTCGGTGCTGAGCTGTCGTCCGTCATGTCACGGACATCGTCACAACCAAAAATCATTTTTCCCAAACAATCACCAAAGTTACTAAACCAGAAAATGTGGCCTATTGAGACTCTAATTACTTCTTATACCACAACTTGCGATCTTAATGAGGCATTGAATGACTTTGTTGGCTGTTTTATGCACGTAAGCTAGAATGGGAGCGGATGTGGTCACAACACTTGCCTATGCAATTAAAGTAGCTCATAATCGTGTAATCATGAGGCAAGTTTTAGCTTCGTGGATGCGCTGTGTGTCTGCAACACTAACGAGTTGGTTGGCAATTTTAGGTCCAAAACCAGACTTCAGCTTAGTCAAGTCTTCTC